ATAAACACTTTTACATAACATTTTAACCACTGAAATACAGAGTTATTACTTGATGTGCTCGGTTCCATCTGGGGTATAACACGACTTACCAAAGAAATGTCTTTTCATCATCTGCAGCATTGCTGTGTGATTAGCTCAGTCTTATAAAAAAAATAGGTCTAAGGATGGGATTTTCTTAATTTCCAATTGCTCTGATCTCTATTTAACTTCAGCAGCTTTAATTTAGTGGGTTTAACAAAAATACTGCATAATACTTTGAGGAATTAAAGCATTTTGTAATACAACTCAAAAGTAGTTGAATTAAATAATTGAAACTAAAATGTTCATTTCTAATACTTAGTTGAAAACCCTTTTCTGGCTAATACAGCCTGAAGTCTTGAACTCGTGGACATCACCAGATGCTGGGTTTCCTCCTTTTTAATGCTCTGCCCAGACTTTACTGCACTGATTTCAGTTGCTGTTTGTGAGCCTTTCTGTTCAAAGTTTAGTCTACAACAAGTGAAATGCATGTTTGTTTTGGTTAAGATCAGGTCACTGACTTGGCCATTCAAGATTATTACACATCTTTGCTTTAGTAAACGCCTGGGTTTGGCTGTAAGTCAGTGTCCAAATATATAGACCTAACTAGTGCTGTTCGATATAACGATATATATCGGAGACGATATAAAAACGTCTATCGTTTCATTTTACGCTATCGTTTGTTTCGTGGTGTCGCAAAATAAACTGTTTACGGCAATATTTTTTCATCGTTTTGATGGTCACTGTAGTGGCTATATTAATTTCTTAAAGTTCTCTCTTTTCTCTTACATTTAATATAACCACACACAGCAAGCGCCTGTTTTTATGCGTTGTGGTTAGCAACAACGACGGTACACCATCGCGTGTCCACTTGTTTATGTTTCCACATAAACCTTTCACAATAAAGCTCAAGATCCTGTTGAGACTTTTCAAAATAAACTGAATCACGTGAAAGAGCAGATTATTTACGGATGAGAAGTAAAAAAGAGCCGCCAGGTGCTAAAAAATAAACCTTAGACTCAAACGTTAGAACAGGCTTTTCCCCGCAGCACGCCGTGTAATAAATACTCACAAAGAAAACGGCGGCCTTTACAACTTATGTCTAAAAATGTATAGTTTCATGCATCGGTTAAAACACTCGACTCCAGCTACATGACGCGCAGCTGGAAACACTTCCCGCAAGTCGAGCTGCCCGAGATTCACAGAATTTACAGAAAATGTTACATTTTTGTGATTTATATCGTTATCGGGACGATAGATGTCTTATATTGGGATATGAGATTTTGGTATATTGCACACCTAGACCTAACTGTATTATTCTTTAAATCTTTGTCATAATTTCCCCAGAAGTGTCTAACTCTGTGACTGTTGCTGTAAAATTGTTATGAAAGTGTAAGTGACATAGTGTCACTATCTAAACATGTTTTTCTTGTTGAATTTTGGTTTACTGTATGGCTCTGCCTTTGTTGGTAAAGTGTGCCACCTGGTGTTCTGATTTAGAAGTCACACATAAGAGAACCATTAGTCAGTAGTTTGTAAAGAAAGGATGATTCCCGAATTTAGGTGGATCTGTACAGCTTTTTATTTTTACAATTAATTTGTAATATTCTTTACTAAGTTTGTTTTTATTCTTACTCCCATGGGTTCTACAGTTGTTCTACAGAAGTGTTCTGTCTTCTTCTTGCCCTATGCTTATAACCCCCTGACCTCCACCTCTCCCCACCACCACCTTTTAGGAATGAAAGTGATGAAGGTGAAGACCAAGAAAAAAAGAAGTTCCAAAATCAACTGTCAGGTGCATATCACTGACATACAATTTCTTGAAAAGCCAAATGTGTTGGTATTTCTGAACCTCATTTATTTTATAGGTGCCATTGTTATGGAAAAGCCAAACATAAAGTGGGACGATGTAGCTGGACTCGAAGGAGCCAAAGAAGCCCTTAAAGAAGCTGTTATCCTGCCAATCAAATTCCCACATCTGTTTACAGGCAGGGATTTTTTTTTTCTTTTGTGAAAAAGTTTTGTGAAAGTGAAGTTTTTCGTTTCCTTGTTTTTTTAAAGACTGAAACTTCTTTTGTAGGCAAGAGAACACCCTGGCGGGGGATCCTTTTGTTTGGGCCTCCAGGAACAGGAAAGTCCTACTTGGCCAAAGCCGTGGCCACAGAAGCTAACAATTCCACCTTCTTCTCAATCTCATCCTCCGATCTTGTGTCTAAGTGGCTAGGAGAAAGTGAAAAGTGAGGCCCAAGTTCTTTACGTAGCGGCAAAATTAAGACTATGACAAAGTTACTGTTAAGAAAAATGAATCAATTTTTTCCACTTCTGTCTGTCTTTAGGTTGGTGAAGAACTTGTTCTCTTTAGCCAGAGAACACAAACCATCGATCATTTTCATTGATGAGATCGACTCCCTCTGTGGCTCCAGGAGCGAGAATGAGAGTGAAGCAGCTCGCAGAATCAAGACGGAGTTCCTCGTTCAGATGCAGGGTGAGAAAGAAGATACTTACAGATTTGAACCAACAGCTGGAAAGACGATACGAAGTGTCATGAACTATGGCTCATAGTTCAGTTATTCATGACAACTGATTGTTTTAAGCATTTATTTGTCTAAAAATCATCTGTAAGCGCCCGCAGCCCAGTGTCACCTATTTTTTCTTTATTTTGTTGCAGCAAAATCACAAAAACCTGAAAATATTTAGTGCTCAGTTGACTAATTGTGCAACTCTTTTCTCCTGTCAGGTGTTGGTAATGATAATGATGGAATCCTTGTCCTGGGTGCAACTAATATACCATGGTCGCTGGACTCAGCTATCAGGAGAAGGTCAGATCCACTTGTTTCTATACAAATGATCCCTACCTTTTTATCTATGAAAAGCGCTATATAAATACATTTTACTTACTTTTACTTACCTAATCACCTCTTATATTACCTAGTACTGTTCATCAGTGTTTTTGGGCTAACAACCAGGATTTAAGAGGTTTAATGCTCGTTTATGTCTCAGGTTTGAAAAGCGAATCTACATTCCTCTGCCGGAGGAACATGCCCGCTCCTCCATGTTCAAACTGCATCTGGGCTCCACCCCCAATAACCTGACAGAGGCGGATTTCGTGACTCTGGGCAAAAAGACAGATGGCTACTCCGGAGCTGACATCAGTATAATTGTCAGGGACGCCCTGATGCAGCCAGTCAGGAAGGTTCAGACAGCCACGCACTTCAAAAGGGTAAAACCACAGTAACCATTGCTTGACATGCTCTTTTTGTCATATTTCTAAATGCAAAAAAACCTGGTTCAGGGATCCAGTGGAAGTATATTATTCCAAAATCAAACTAACTGTCATACTTGAAATTCATACACCTGACAAGGTGCTTATCTCATCTTTACATACAACTGTACTCAAAGAATTTAAAAACGCACCACTACATTTCTTTGCAAATGCACTGGTGTAGTTTGTGTTATATGCAAATCAGCACTCATATATTGCTTGTCATTACCTTTTAACTTAATCAGTGATAAAAACAATGTGGAAAAAAGACCAAAAAAATGTCCAAATTTGATATATCACTATATATTGTGTGTAATATAACTACAGGTTACAAAAAAAGGCAATCCATAATTAGTGTACCCCCCGTCTGCACTGACTTTGGCTGTAATATGCCTCCTCATGGTCAGGTGTCATCCTGTGGGATGGCAGCTTACTCTTCAGTCACTGTTGCGCTGAGTTGCTGCTGAGTCCACGTAGGAGGATTACACTGTTTTACTCTGTTACTAAAATGACTCCACTGGTTTTCTGTGGAGTTGAACTTGTCTGGTGGTTCACCCTGCCTCCAGCATTCCAGTGGGAAGATCCCAGTCAGATTGTACCAGTCGTGGCATTCTTACAGATGTAATTTTCTCCAAAGCCGTAGTGCCTTTTTATAGGCTTGGGTGTATTTGACAGAGGAGTGGTCATTTGGGATTAGCTGGTTAAAGGCATTGTGACTTCTTCCCCAAATTTGTGTTTTGAGACACATAGCTACTCACAATAAACAGTCAGGCATGTACTTTAATTGTATGCATATCAAGTTTATGCCTATAACTTGTGTTTTTATGTCTGCAACTTTTCTTGAAGCTCATTCTTTGGGCAGGAGTCTTTCTTGTAACTCCAAAATAAACTTCTATCCACTTACACTTATCCTTATAGCTGTTGGAGACTATCCCAGCTCATAATAAATTTATCAATCTAAAATATAAATTCAACCAGAGGGAGGCAGCACTGTGTGGTGTTTCTTTTTATAATTTTTTATTCCTGTCCTTATGCCCATACTAATTCAGGTTCGAGGGTCAACATGGAACAATCCTGGCGCTGTGGTCGATGACCTGCTGACTCCGTGCTCACCTGGAGAGCCCAACTCCATTGAAATGACATGGATGGAGGTCCCTGGAGAGAAACTTCTAGAGCCAGTTGTATCCATGGTAAGAAAAGAGCTCTTTCATCAGTTGATATTCGGAAAACCATACCCACTGGATAGAAAATAATCCAGCCCAGCAAAATGTAACTGAGAGCTGAAAGGTTAACAAAGTCATTTTTGGTGGCTAAAAATGTTTGATTTTTCTAAAATGCATCTCGAATGAGTGACTAAACATTTCTCTCACTGAAACCAGATGAACAGAGTCTGCTTTCTGGAAGAAAAAAAACATAGTCTGTTTTGTACATTTTTGTAATGTTATAGAGAGGAGTCTAAGCAGTTAGCATGGATACTGTTACCCATCATTTTCAATGCTTTACATTGAAATGAAATTAACATTTGCATATTTGACTTGCCAGTGACACAGTGTTTGCTGGTTGGATCCTGCTGATTGTCAGGATTCTGCTTGCATCATACATTATTATTGCTCAAAGAAAAAAATCTTCAGTTACAGGTTATTGGGTTCTTTGCCCTCTTGTTAGTTGTTGGTCACATAACAGCAGCTTACTGGCATTTAACAGTGTTTTGCTTGTGGATGAAATTGACCAGAAGGCACCATCAAAGTCAGTGAACAATTATGAAATGTTTTTTTTTTCCTTCATTGTGGTTAACAATGAATCGCAATCTGTCTCTGTCAGTTCTCTCTCTCTGTTATTGACAAACCCAGTGACTGTAATCTATTCTGACCTACCTAATGTTCTCTATACAGGCTGACATGCTGAGGTCACAAAGCAACACCAAGCCTACGGTGAACGAGCAGGACTTGGAGAAGCTGAAGAAGTTTACTGAAGATTTTGGTCAAGAAGGCTAATAATATCTTTGTACTCAAAAATAGGACTGCACTTAACAACTATCTTTACTCTCAGTTATGCTTCAGATCATTTAATTCGCCTTTTCAACTGCTGTGTCAAAAATGGTGGAAAATGTCACAGGTTTAATGGACCAGAGGTTGCAGCAAATCAGTCTTACAGCTGACAAAAAAACATTTATCCTTTTGTCACAATCATAGATCTTTTTTTTTTTTAAATCAACCAACCAGTTGAGGAATCGTCTCTTTCAGCCACGTTAACCTATCGATCCACCGAGGCTTGTGTTTACGTTATTTTTTTTAAGGGTTTTTCTTATTATATTTCAAACTGAAGCGTTTTGTTTTTTTTCTGAAACCGCATCACTGTTAGAAAAGTATGTGCAAAGGCTACAGTGGGTAGATCCTGGCATCTTTCCATCACTACATACTTTATGTAGTCTAAGGCAGATTTTAATACTTTGATTAACAGAACTGGTGTTGTGGTTGACATTTAACAGGAATTTATGCAATGAAGTCTGTGAACACTGGCAATCTTTTTTTCACTACATACAAATCATTAATGGCATCCAAAAGGATCTTCTGGGATTTAAACTGATGTAGAGAAAATGAAAGAATTTCTTAATTCTGATATGCCGTTGCACATTTTCTTTCAGCCTTCTCCTGTTAGATTACTGACACTTTACTGTGTTCTAGTTATGTTCTGACTTATTTATAAATGATTATGCTCTAGCTGTGTTGCCTTTGGGTTTTAAATGTATTTAAGAATTTCCTTTGGGTTTACAGGGGTTACATTAATAAAAAAAAAAAAAAAGGTCAACTTGTACTTTTCTTGTATTCTACTGGATATGTTCTGTGAACAGAAGTCTCAGGGCTAAATAAAGGAATTAAAACATTAACTTTGTAAATATGTTTATTTGTTAAAATACATCTCTTAGTTAACTATCATATTTCTATATTTCTAATGCAGTGTAAATCACAATTTAATTTCCTTATATGATAAGTGAATATTAATTTCACAGCAACAAACAAATTAAGACTTGTAGAAAAAATTACATCAATAAGCTGCTTGCAAAACATTTCTTATACATCTCTTAATTCAGTGTCAGTAGTGATGAAAAAATCTGTTTGAAATGTAGACCAAAGTGTTTTCTATTGAGCAGAAGTTTGGATTTTAAAAGCGGTCATAATTTATATGCTGAGAAAAAAAGGGTCCTAGCCAAGTGAAATGACTCAAGAGATTTACCTGATAAGGCTTTTTTAAGTCTATGGAAATTAAAAAAAAACACTTTAAATCAAAGGCATGATTGAAAAGCTGCCAATGAAAAAAACATAAACCAAGCACTTATAAATCTCAAGGAGTGATGTCCCATTTCACTTCATGTAAATGCCAGGGTTACAATATAACAGACTATATAATCAAACCAATGTTCATCAAACGGGTCCCTCAGAAAACTATACTCATCTGAAGCTAGCTCCACCACTAATTACCTCAGGAGTCAAAGATACGATGCAAATTCACAATCAAAACAACAAAACATTAAAATAGAAAAACATACAGTAAACGGAAATAAACACAAAAAAAAACATCTGTGCACCGTGAAGTGGAAGAAAATTGACAGGAGAGAACCTGAAACGTGCATGAAAGGAGTAGTGTCTTTTCTGTCATTTTGACAACTTTGAAAATTGCTTATATTACATTATGTTTTTTGGTTAAGAATATTCATATTCAGATAACACAAAGATGTTGGTAAACAGCAACATAGACTGTATTTGAAAGTGCTGAGTATACATGGTGAGTAATTCACTGCACATCACAATTATGCGTCAGATAGATGTAGCCCATCAGACACGTTTCATTCTAACTCACGTGATGATACAGAGAGGAGGCCATATAAATACAGGGGGAGGGAGTCACTGGCTGCTAGAAGTACATTAGTTCTGACGCTAGAATACAGAGAAGAGAGAGCCGAGTGCTAAACCGGTTGCCGCTCCAGCGAGCATGCCCAAAGCCACATCTCCTCCGTCGTCACGCTGTCGCTCCCGAATGATGACATGGTTCACTCCAGAAGCAACGTACCCACCTACAAAACACAAGTTTTATGATGGTAAGTTCATACAATTTAAACTCTGTTAAACTATTCTACTTTTTCACTTTATCCTCTGGTCACAAATAAGAACATCTAGATGGGTTTTTGTGACCCATTTGTTTAAGAATGAATTTAAAGTCCATGATACATTTTTATCTAAGTACCTGAAAAACTAATAAAGATTTTAGACTAAGCTGCATGTTTTTCTATTTGTTAATGAGCAAATGTTCTTATAGTAACTAAGATGGTATGTAATACTCTTGTTAAGCATCAGGATGACAGCACTGGTAATTACTGCGTCAGAAATCCCATTCTATGCACCATTTCCTCAGTATGGGAATCTCAGAAGTATGTTGACAACCACTAAGTTCAGTCACGTTCTGAAATGAGCCAGTTACGGATAAACAAATATTAGGCCTTTCAAAGTGGAAAGATTTTACTTTTATACTGAAGACTTCTTTTATAAGGATCAAATCCAGCCACTTTACTGCATTATGGATATGCATATTGTGAAGATGTCCGCTTGTCGACAATCAAATTTAGGTCAGAGTTTAGTTAGTCCGCAATTTTGTTGTACATCTACAGTGACAATAATGGGCTATTCTATTCTATTCTAGCTACCAGGATTCCTATAAACTAGTGGTGGGCAATGTCCAGCTGTTTACCTTGGTATTGATAAGGATAAGCAACTGTGTAGGGCTGCCCATCAGCAGAGTATACGACCTGTGTGGCCTGTGGGGGCGGTGCAGTGTAGTCTCCATATGGGCCTGGGGCATAAACCTGGCAAAAAAAATTACATTTAACAAAGTGACACAAAGGATGTTACTGTATTAATAAACCCTTTGTATTAGATGGCTTATAGAAGAAAGACTGGATTTGTTGGTTTTTGTTTTGTTTTACATTAATCACTGAGTTGATTTTCACTTGAGATAGTCATGCTAAACCACAGACAAATGTTGTAAGTAGCACTATTTTCATAAAAGACTTTAGACCTGAAAAAGTAATTTTATTCAGTTATGAACATGAAAAGAAATGTATTAATGTTTTTCACCGGTTGGGGAGGATATTCCGAGTAGGGGGGAGGAGCAGATGCAATCACCTCCTGTGCAAAGCCGATCTGAGGAGCAGTGACCACCTAAAAGTATCAAATAACAAAAATCAGCAACTGAAGCTTGCCAACACCAAAAAAACTCAAGCACATAACATTAAGATAAGTGAAAACAATAAAAAAAATATCCAGTTTTCCTCCCAGGAGGACAGTTCTTCTGCTGTGCTCAAGTCACTCTTAGTTCAGCTTTATTCAGAGCTTATTCAGGTAATGTGACAGAAAATGACAGACTGTCAGTTACAACAACACTAACTTTAAATAATGTATAAAAATCTCACCATATTAACTCTGGCATCTTGAAGTGCCATTGTCCATGCCCTGCAACAAAAGCAGACATTATGTCATCTTGAGTTAAAAATGTCTGTTCTAATTACCTGTACTCAAATACATCTAACTAATTTTATGACTTGGTGTGTATGTGCAGTCTTACAGAGCATCATCTGCACTGTCTGCACACAGGCTGATGACCCGTCCATCTCTGCACACTATCTGGAACAAGGCATCACGCGTCTTTCCCTCCGGTGGGTTCAGCTCTAAAAATGCAAGTGGGGTGGTGAAACATTTAAAATTAGTGCAAAGAGGTGGGTAATAATAGCATAGGGATCAGCCGCATGAGATCAACATTAAGCGTAAGACATGTACCCTGACATCCAGCGGAGTTGCGGATGTTAATGCAGTTGACCCTCATGTGGATGTCGTCCTCCATGTCGCGCCGTTGTTGATCGTTGTAGAACACAAGTCGTCCGTCAGCCCATAAGTCAAACCAGTTTCGTTTTCCATCGACGCAGTATGGTACCTGACATAGTAAAGGTAGTTTGTTTATTTTTAATGTGACATCATCTTAACCATCTGAGTATCTGACATATTTATGGCTATATTGTTTTCTTATAGATGGGTGACAAATGAAAAGAAAAAAAGACCCCTCTTTACTGGAGTAATGAAATATCCTTCTTCCAACAAATATTCCGCGATTAGGTTGAGATCCAAAGTCTCCTGTGTTATCATTTTCATATCTCATCACTACTATCAGGCTAAAAATGTTTCATTGTAGGATACAGGTCATCTAAACCACACAATTGCCCCCACTTACAGCATAAACACTAATAGATCCATTACTGTGGAGGTCAAGCATTCATGTTTTTCCTTTAATGTGTCTGGATACTCACTTTGTCGATGAAGCCAGCCACTCTTTACCATAGCCATCTTGGAAGTAACACCTACAGAATAAAATGTAAACACATTAGAGCGCATCTGTTATTACTGAGACACTAGGAGCATATGACTGGGTGTGGCATGTCCAACACAAACCTCGTGACTGTTAGCACTATTAGCAAGTTCACAAATCTATTTTCAGAAACATAAGCTTATATAAGATAAGATAGGATAGGTTACAATAACAGCTCAAGGTAATGTGGCCACATGGCCAGAAATATTAACACCATGTTTAGTTACTCTGTAGTCCCCCCATGCTTAGTTAGACAATGTTTAGGACATGACATTGGTGGAAGCCAGATAACTGACAGTTCTCCTGCTTTAACCAATGTTTAGGCTATTTACTTAGATGTCATCCTGGTTTTAAGTCAGACTAGGCCAGTTGTGAGTAGGTCGTCCTCATGTTTAATAACTGCTATGCCACCCATAGCAACCCTGTTATAATGTGGATTTTATATGATATAAGTTATTTGATATGTAGGTTATCGCTAACCGTTAGCGGCTTTTTAATATAAACACGTCGCCATTACAAAGCTGACCTATCGGTTAACCGTGTTTATAATACGCTAAAACACCACAACTTGTCGTTTTACCCGTACTTGTAAACGCATTGGATAAATTAGTTACCTACTTGATTTTTGTATGCTTTTTGGGGGGAGAGTGATATCAAGCTTTTCGTGGAGAAACAGCAAACACGGAAGTGAGATCCAAAAAAATAAAAAGAAGAAGACTCCTTCCACGGAGAGGAAAAACCCTGACCGCTAAACTTAGCTGACACTGTATACAACGGAGGCCTTAAGCCACGCCCACAGAGCATCTTCACGAATGTTCAGTCTTTCCGCGAGAGGGAGGTTTTTGTTTTGGATGACGTAACCTATCAGCTGACAGTGGTGGAAAGTGCTAGCAAACGGAGCGAGGGCGCGCTTGTTGAAGTTCGTTTCTAACGTTTGGTAATCACATGGCCTTTTTATTTTTTCCACTTCTGTCTGTCTTTAGGTTGGTGAAGAACTTGTTCTCTTTAGCCAGAGAACACAAACCATCGATCATTTTCATTGATGAGATCGACTCCCTCTGTGGCTCCAGGAGCGAGAATGAGAGTGAAGCAGCTCGCAGAATCAAGACGGAGTTCCTCGTTCAGATGCAGGGTGAGAAAGAAGATACTTACAGATTTGAACCAACAGCTGGAAAGACGATAAGAAGTGTCTTGAACTATGGCTCATAGTTCAGTTATTCATGACAACTGATCGTTTTAAGCATTTATTTGTCTAAAAATCATCTGTAACAGCCCGCAGCCCAGAGTCACCTATTTTTTTTCTTTATTTTGTTACAGCAAAATCACAAAAACCTGAAAATATTGAGTACTCAGTTGACTAATTGTGCAACTCTTTTCTCCTGTCAGGTGTTGGTAATGATAATGACGGAATCCTTGTCCTGGGTGCAACTAATATACCATGGTCGCTGGACTCAGCTATCAGGAGAAGGTCAGATCCACTTGTTTCTATACAAATGATCCCTACCTTTTTATCTATGAAAAGCGCTATATAAATACATTTTACTTACTTTTACTTACCTAATCACCTCTTATATTACCTAGTACTGTTCATCAGTGTTTTTGGGCTAACAACCAGGATTTAAGAGGTTTAATGCTCGTTTATGTCTCAGGTTTGAAAAGCGAATCTACATTCCTCTGCCGGAGGAACATGCCCGCTCCTCCATGTTCAAACTGCATCTGGGCTCCACCCCCAATAACCTGACAGAGGCGGATTTCGTGACTCTGGGCAAAAAGACAGATGGCTACTCCGGAGCTGACATCAGTATAATTGTCAGGGACGCCCTGATGCAGCCAGTCAGGAAGGTTCAGACAGCCACGCACTTCAAAAGGGTAAAACCACAGTAACCGTTGCTTGACATGCTCTTTTTGTCATATTTCTAAATGCAAGAAAACCTGGTTCAGGGATCCAGTGGAAGTATATTATTCCAAAATCAAACTAACTGTCATACTTGAAATTCATACACCTGACAAGGTTCTTATCTCATCTTTACATACAACTGTACTCGAATAATTTAAAAACGCACCACTACATTTCTTTGCAAATGCACTGGTGTAGTTTGTATTATATGCAAATCAGCACTCATATATTGCTTGTCATTACCTTTTAACTTAATCAGTGATAAAAACAACCTGGAAAAAAAGACCAAAAAAATGTCCAAATTTGATATATCACTATATATTGTGTGTAATATAACTACAGGTTACAAAAAAAGGCAATCCATAATTAGTGTACCCCCCGTCTGCACTGACTTTGGCTG